CCAAACTAACTGCTTCCTCCAATGTGCATATTCTAACCCTGCAGCGAGCATGAAAGGATTTCCATCACTGGGAGCTGTAAAAATGAATACTGGGTACCATATGTACACAGGACGCCTCATCCAAGATCTGGTAACCTAGGCCTCCAAAACCTATAAGACACACTGACTTACACTCTTTTCCTTTCAGAGAAATTGGGCAATAAAATATTCACCAAATTCTATGCTACAAGTTCTTGTACTTTTTATCTGTGTTTGTTTTATTTCTATTGTTAGAAGTATAAATTGGTACAATATTTCTAGAAATCAACTCATTAGTACACACCAAAACCTTAAAATGATTTCTTTCCTTTTAACTCAGTCACCTACTAGGACTCTAAGGAAATAATTAGGGGGACAGACATAGATTTCCATCCAAATATTGTGACTAAAAGGAAAAATGTGGACAGAATCCACAACTATGGGGTAATGGTTAAGAAAAGTATGGCCCAGTAAAAAGTAATGTGCATGCATTAAAGTGATGTTTATTGAAAGTTTTTTTATATGTCTAAGAGCATGCTCTTTAATTCAGATCAATTGAGCAGAGATTGACCACCCTTCTTGTCACCATTCACTGAACCCAGCTCCAGGATGTATGGATGTTCAGCACAGTCCCAGATCTTGCTCTCATGGATTTTACAGTCAAATCCAGAAGATCGATATCGAAAAATCGCATCTATCCTGAAAGACCTAGGATTTATAATCACTGAGAAATGTCAAAGAAATGATGGGTCAGCTTTACAGACAGTTGTCTATAGATAATCCTAAAAATACGTTCGTCGTCTTTGGAAGCGGACACTGAAGAGAATGCAACTCAGTAGTGGGCTCAGAGTTTTAGAGCCAAGAGATATTTGTGATCACTTCACTGACTCTCCTCATTGGATAGAAAAGAAATCTGAAGCCAGGGTGGGGAGTGACCTGACCAAGGTCACACGTGTCCAGCCAGGGTCGGTGGTGCCTGTAGGAAGCACGAAGGTCCTGGTGCCTCTGTTTCAGTCGTTTCCCGCCCACTTCATAGCCTCAGTGCATCCATTCCTTTGCAAGTTCACATTCAGCCAGCAGGATCATTGCTAACTT